GAATGAATAAATTGAAGAAGTCATTCGTTAATTAAAGTTAAAGAGGTCTTTCAAAACCAGATAGAGGCTAAGAAGTTTGGATTTGATAGAAAAGGCATTGGGGAGCCATTTTGTTTGGTTCTTTTGTTTTGTTATGTTTTTAAGTAGGCAACGGATCAGAACTGTACATTAGAAAAATGTGTTTTTACAAGTCAATAGAACAGACTGGCAGGCAAGAGACCAGTTAGGAAACTGGAGGCAACAGGGAATGAAAACCTAAACCAGAACACTGGAAGTGGGAATAGAAAACATGATCCAAGAGAGAGCTTGAAAATAAAACTGACAGCGCTTGGCACTTGCTAAGATTTGGGGGTAAGAAAGGGACTTCGAGTCAAAACCTGGCTCCAATGTTCTCAGGTGGGGAGAATGGAAGAATGGCAGTACCGTTAGCATGAGATAGGTAGCTAGCTAGACATGAGTGGGGGATCATAGCTGGAAACCTCGCTGCATCAATCAAGCATCTTATTGGCATCCAAACATGAGTGGAGAAATCACAGCTGGAGACCTTGCTACATCAAAGAAGCGTCTTGTTGGCATCCCACAAGATACAGATAAAGGGGAACCAAGACCCACCTGGCGCCACCACCAGAGTCTGAGACCTTCAACCACGAAGATAAACATAACAAGTGCACAAACAACACATACAAAGCCTTCTGCTATACATCTCTAGAGAACATCGACTTTTCTTTAATTTACATACGAATTCCATATGCATTAGCCCCCCTTCCATGGGTGATGACTGCCATGACAGTTCTGGAGATTCCCCTAGAATGTCAAGAACTCCCCCTGCCAACATGTAGGTTGAGGAAAGACCATTATTGGCGATTAACCAGATAATGCTAATTCCCTTCTAAACAGCCTAAATAAAAATGAAACTAACCCAGGACACAGGGCAGCTGTGTTCTCTGGCACTGCCCGCTCCTCACTTGGAGTGTATCTGACCTGTCCTCTAATAAATCTTTTCTTGCTTGCTGTTGCCGTTATGCCGGTGTCACACTGACCAAGACCGTGGGCGATGAGACTCTATAGTCCAGCTACAAGCAGAGACAGGGAAGACAGGAGAGAAATGGGTTTAGGGGAAATAAGTTATTTCTTGAATTACTGAGTCTGACTTTCAAGTGGATTCTGAAAATGTGAGTCTGGAGTAGCTGAGTAGAGATGAAGATCTGCTCAGAAGTGACCCGCTGAGGCTGCAAGAGCAGAGCTGGAGCCAGGAAGCAATTTACACAATGCCCCCCAGCCCGCTGTCTTTCATTCACATCCACTCACTCCACAGTTTTTGAAGCCCTCTCAAAGCCATCATTTTATTCGACAGTCATAACAATCTTATGAAGTAGGAAAGGCGACGTCACCTACTTTTACAGATAAGGAAATGGAGGCTCTGAGGAGTGAGGGGTTTTGCCAAAAGGATTGCAATGAAGTAACAGATCCAGGACTAGAACCCAGAGCTTCTGCTTCTTAACACAACTCCCAATTCGGTTGCCGACTGCACAGAGATAAATGCTCTACTCGCACGAGTCAATTTTTAATCGCATCAGTTTGGGGTTTGGGGTTTTGGTTTTTTCCCTTCAACTGTTATCGTCTGAGAGAGAAGTTTGACATCACGGTTCTCCGCTCGGGGCAAATCATCACTGTTTATTAACTGTCTTCCGCGGGAAGGACCAGATATCCCTGGCTTGTAGGGAACTTCTACTCCGACATTATGGCCCACAGTCCACGTTGCACGTTTTAAAAGGGATCTTTCTGCCCGTCTAACCTGAATGAGCTCGTACATGGAACAGACCCACGGACATGGAGAGACAGAGTTCTCGAAGACCGCTTGCAAAACTTTTAATTCCAAAAAGTCAAAAATCTTCAAGGTTCACAGGACAAGGAGAGACTGTTTAAGGCCCAGAGAGAGCAATGGGTTTTGTGTGAGTTTTAAGGTGCAGCTGTGTGTTTGACAAAGGCGGACGGCTGACGAGTCCGGATCTGCGCGGCGGGGCGGGGGCGGGGCCGGGGCCGGGGCCGGGGCCGCGTGAGTCAGGGGGGGCCCCGCGGGGCGGGGCGGGGCCGGGCGGGGCCGGGAAAGAGCCGGGCCGCCCGCTCAGAGTTCGCCGCGCCGCTCCTCGCTCACAGCCTGCGCGCCTCGCTCCGCTCCGACGTGGTAAGCCCGACTTTTTATTTGTCTGTCTTTTAAATGGAAAGAGAAAAAGCAACGGCACACTTTCCTCCAGGCTTGGTCTTTGATTTATATGCGGACGTGGCAGGAAACAGCAGGAAAAATAAATCTGTGGGAGGGCATTCGGGAAGAGGATGAAGGAAGGAGCCCTAAAATTATACCTGTAGTAACAGCCTGGGGGTGGCCACCGGAGGTTCTTGTGTTTTCCCGGCAAAGGTAAGGTCTAGGGCTGGGGCAGAGGAAATGCCCGGCGGGCCCCGCCTGCCCCGCAGCGCCCCGCACCGGAGCCCGCGGGGTGGAGGCCGCTCCCGCTCCCTCGCTCCGGGAAGGCAGCGGTGGGTTCCTGCTCCCTCGTGCTGGAAGCCCCTCGCCACTGGTGTCCCGGAAGCCTGGAGACACGGGAAAGACGGCGGGGGTAGGGGGTGGGATTCTGTGAGGCGGCACTGGCTACTTCTATAGACCAGAAAGGGCACATTTCAGAACTTAGTCGTCAGGGCCCTAGGGAAAATCAAAGTTTCAGTAAGTTACCGGCAGACGGCCAAGACACAGAGACTGACTGAAACTCAAGCCCGCCCCAGCCAGCGGAACCACAGCCAAGAATGTGGGAGGAGCCCGCTTCCAGCTAAGCCCCCTCTTTTCCTTTGCCTTTTCTCCACCATCTTTTTAGGCACTCACTGCATCACCTGTTTCTCTCCTCTCAGCTCATGCCATTCCCACTTTGAATTATCTCTTTCCCATTAAGCCACCTCCAAAGTCTGTCTCCTCCTTGGCCTCTCGAGTGAAGGGAGTCAGCAAACTTCCGCCCGTGGGCCAAGTGGGGTTTCTGTTCCGCCCACAAACTACCAATGGATTTTACACTTTTAAATGGTTGAAAGAAAATCAAAGGAAGAATAATACGTTGTGGGACGTGAAAATTATATGAAAATCAAACTTCAGCGTCCATAAATAAAATTTTATTAGCAAACGGCCACGCCCATTCATTTATGAGTTGTCTGTGTGGTTGCTGTCCTACAAAAACAGAGTGATAGAGACCATATGGACCACATTGGCCTAAAATATTTGCCATCTGGCCTTTTACAAAACGTGTTTCCAACCCCTGCTCTAATAGGTCCATCTGTATCCCCAACTACTCTTTCCTTCTTCTCCTTTCCAAGCAAAAAGGGAGAATGGCTGTCACAGGGAAACTTGAAAGGCAGACCCAGCACTAACAGGTGCTGAAGACCTGGAATGATTGCCCTGGAGGAAGGTGGATGCCTCCATGCATCCTTGGGAGGAAATGCGGGGGAGTTGGGGGTCGGGTTCACATTCTTTTTTTTTTTTTTCTTGCTTTCCTGAAATGTTTGTTTAGCATGCATTTTTAAAATTCTCTTACAGTATTCGTTTATCATACCCTTTCCTCCTTCCTCTCATGGTTCCCACCAAATACAGCTCGGTGGATGCAGTGAGGTGTGGGGAGCACTGGCCTCCAGGCAGGAGATGTGGTTCTTCTCTCCTTCAGCCATTGCTCCACCTCAGGCAAACCTTTCCCATCTCTGGGCCTCCCTCCTTGGGAACCATCTCGAGTCCCCTCCAGCTCTACAAATTTTACAATTCCATTTAAGTAATTTGATAATGGTGTTTCTTTCTCTTGCTCTGGAAAATTACTTCTGGGGAGAAATGCAGGGGTTTTAATTTTCTCCATGTGGCTGCTAGCGACAGTTTTCAAGAGAAAAAAATACTCTAAATTACAGTCAAGACTGATGTTAAAGAAAAGAAAAAGTAAAGCAGAAAGCCACTTTGAAACTGGAAAGCAATCTGAATTCCACAAGGAAAAGGGGCAGAGGAAACTTCTGTAGGTCTAGAAAAAAGTCACAAAGCCCTCACTCTTTAGTCTGAAACCTTCTACCCTATCTGGTGTGCCCTCCCAGCCAACCTTCTGTCTTCTGACTCATTAGCAATACAGTGAGATTTTAGTCCTGATAAGAAAAGCTGTTGTGCAACCACATCTGTTTCTAGGCTATGGTACTTTTTTTTTTTTTTTTTTTTTTGAAAGATTAGCCCTGAGTAACATCCACTGCCAATCCTCTTTTTGCTGAGGAAGATTGGGGTAACATCTGTGCCCATCCTCCTCTACTTTATATGGGATGCCGCCACAGCACGGCTTGATAAGCCGTATGGTGCCTTGGTCAGCCCCCGGGATCTGAACCTGCGAACTGTGGGCCACCAAAGCAGAGCGCGCGAACTTAACCACTATGCCACTGGGTCGGCCCCCAGGCCGTGGTATTTTGTTTCTTCTCCAAACCCTGAACCTACTAACACTTTCCTTTCCTTAAGAAAAAGTTCTCTTTGAGAAAAAAAGAAAAAAAAAAACATTCCAACAATGTTACTGTTGAGAGAGAATCCACCTCCGAAGAGTTCTTTAGAACCCACCTCTGGAAGAGGCTTTATAGATGCTCCAACATACAATGGGCAGCAGGCACCTCAGCTAGGCTGGTAAAGCACCTGGAGAGACTGAAGTGAAAAGGCTACAGGAAGGAGACTGACAGCTTTGCGACTAAGTGTTCCGGTCAATCCTTAGTACATTAATTATGGGGCCTGAAAGCCTTTAGCTCTGGGCTCCAGGAAGTTCTTCCCAAGAACAATGAAAGCTAAAGGCTAAACTGCAATGTCATTATCCAAACATAGATCGTTGTTAATGCCCGGAGATAAAGCCTCAGAGGAAGGGTGTGGCCTGGTAAGTTTTCCAGCAAGTCTGCAGTTGCTGCTCTTATCCACCAGGGGGAGTCCACCGCTTCACTTCTGGGGCCCCAGGTGCCTGCTGGAATGACCGGCAGACTCTTCAGGACACCATTTTCTTCAAGAATTCTGTTGCAAGGAAAGCAGAGCCCAGCACAGGATCTGAATCTCCTGCTCCTCCTGGTGCAACCACAGCTGCGGTTCTGCTCTGTAGATGCCATGGGAGCTGTGTGAGCGGCAATCTTAAAACCCCCACATCAACCTTTCTGGTTTAAAGTGACCAGAAAAATTTCACCAACCATTCCTGTGGGAATTAGTGGCATCTGGAAGTAGAAGGAGCAAAGGCCAAGGACTGCAGAAAGGGAGCTGGACTGAGATTCTGGGGGTGGCTCTGCCTGTCAGTGCCCTTCTCATGCCTCAGTTTGCTCACATGTAAAATTAATGGTTCCTAACTTTTAAATATGAAGGCTGCTTTTGAATATCCAAAAAATTCTCAGGTCTCCCACCCCATACACAATAATAACTATGCTTTTAGTTTTCTTCTAGAAAATGCATGAGTCCCAGGAATTCAGTATTGCTTTAAAAAGAACTGCCATTTCATTCATCACAGTAGCCTCTATACTCTTAGAAAATAGGACATGTTTTAATCTATAGACAAGGCTTGGTGTGCACATGGATTTGTGGATGTATAGTTATACCTATATTTACCCCCCCCCCGTTCTAAAAACATCAGTAGACCCTGTCACCCCCCACTCATCAAGGCAGTCTACTGCTTTCAGATGTGCCCACATGCTCCATATTTACCCTCACTGTATTTTGCCTGGAATAAACATGTGAGGAGATATGGGAAGGAAGCTCACAGAATGTGATTTTTTGTGGTTGTCTTGGGCCCCTTAGCCCTCTAAAAAATGACTCAGTCTTTTAGGAAACTGCTTTGACACAAAAGAAGACACAGGATTCTCTGGAGTGTTCTCTAGCATCCAGCCCTTGAGATCTTGCCCTTGTCTGAACCCTGAATTTTTTTTTTCCAAAGGCAAAAATGTCCAGCCCTACAGAGACTGAGCGGTGCATCGAGTCTCTGATTGCTGTTTTCCAGAGATACGCTGGAAAGGATGGGAACAGCAGCAAACTCAACAAGGCCGAGTTCCTAACCTTCATGAATAGAGAACTGGCTGCCTTCACAAAGGTACTGGTCCCAGCCCCCACCCCCAAACTACCCATGGCATGAAACAAGACCCTGGCAGATGGCTACGAATGAAGGACCAGCAGCTGATCCCCTACACTCCTGCCTCCTTTTCATTCACTCCAAGACAGTGGTCCACATAACCTAGGCTGAGCCCCTGGGCCTCAGGGTAAGCTCTGAATCATTAATAAAAGAACTTTTCTTTGAATAAGGTGTGTTTTAAAGATCAAAGCTATCAAACTACATGTCATAGGGAACAATGATTTGGTTTTTTCCATTTAGGAAAATTTTCAAATTTTATTCCTCCACCCCAAAGTATCTGCACTATCCGATATGATAGCCACTAGCCACATGTGCATCTAAGGGACTGACTTTCCAAATTAATTAAACAGCCATGTGTAACCAGTGGCTGTAAGTGTGTGTTGGGGGCTGGGATGAGGGGAGGATGAGGCTGATTAGACAGGGCCTACATCCCTTTTCCACCTCAAATCACTCCACGTTTATATAGTTTGTATATTGGAGTTGCATGTAACACTTGAAAAAAGTGTTCTGCTGTTTCTGTGAAATTGTATAACCCCTGATTGTTACAGAAAGAACCCTGACTAGGAGCCAGAAAACCTGGGTTCAAGTCCCAGGTCTTCCCCTTAGGCAAGTCACGTCACCTCTTTGAGTCCGTTTTTATGTCTGGAAACCGGGAATATTACTAACCTTTACCCTGAACCTCATACTCTTGTAAGAATAAAATGTGGCAACATATTTGAAAGCATCCTAGAAAGTGCAATATAAGGGTACTATTATCATTATCATTGTTATTATTATCTTTGCAGAACCAGAAGGACCCCGGTGTCCTTGACCGCATGATGAAGAAACTGGACATCAACTCTGATGGGCAGCTGGATTTCCAAGAATTTCTTAATCTTATTGGGGGCCTGGCCATAGCTTGCCATGAATCATTTCTCAAGTCTGCTCACTTGCAGAAGTAAATGTAAGGAGCCCTTGGGCCTGGCCTCCAGACCCACTCCCTTTCCTTCTAGCCTCCCGACCATCATCTATTCCTCACAGCCCACACGTACCCTGAGCCCAGCACACCTACCACCCCACGCCGGCCACTCCTGCTGTTATTAATAAAACAATATCGTTTTTTAAAACACATACTGGAGAGTCAGTAAATCTGTGCAAAGGAGAGAGAAGAGTGGGAGGAATATAAATTAGATTGATGGAAGCAGTTACCAGAAACTGCAGCGTAAATACTAAAAATACATCTTGGGTGTATACACAGTGATGACTAATGATACCAACAGAATCATCTCTAAATTACTCAGACTGATGGAGAGATGTCACTTGTCATTACTCGTTTGTTAAATATCTATTCACCTCTGCTACAGGCAGTGTCATAGACTCTGAGAACAGCAAGACAAGAGGTCCCACCTTCACTGAGCTTTCTACTAAGGGGCGGGGGGGACGACAAGGAATGAATAAACGAACAAAGGACTATGAGAGTGTGATAAATCCTATGAAGGAAAGATTACAAGTTGGTATGTTACAGGTTAATGGGGACTGGGGGAGGTCACTTCTGAAAAGACGTGTGCTGAGATCTGAAAGATAAGGAGCAAACATTTGGAAAGATAGAGGAGGGCATTTCAGGAGAAACCAGCAGGGGCAAAGGTCCTGAGGTGAGTGGAAAGTTGGAGGAATAGAAAGGAGGCTAGTGTTGTCAAGGTCTTTACGTTTGGCTGTGGGCTAGTATCAACATGAGTTTTAATTTTCTAAGCTCTCTGATAAAGCAGCAGGGAAAGAGCCTAGAAAGAAGGATTTGAAGGCTGACCCAGGGTTAAAGACCACAGATTAGAGAAAAGCATGTTTTAGCAGTGGGCACTCATTCCTAAGCAGCGCAGGGAAAAAGTGATTGTTTCCAGAGCACCTCTGATTCCTGGATCACAGTTTCTTCCTTCATAAATTTATAGAATGAATCAAACCATTTCTGAAGCCGTTTTTTGTTTTTGGCTCTAACATTCTAGAATCAAGGCCAGTGCCTCAGGCTAACAAATCCCCAGATTTTTCAAGTAGAATTATAGCTACCTCTTGGATGAGTTTCTTAATTCATTAGCAACATGGGGTGGGGAGGGTAGAAGCTGTAGTCAGTGAAAGTATCCATATTATTCTGTTGGCATGTGCACCCTATATAAAAATTAAAAATAATTAATGACTGTTATTACCCGAAGAACACTGAGCCACGGAAGAGATGGAAGAACATCAGGCACCATAAGGTTACTGGCCCATTTGCTATTCTACCAAGAAGTCACTGGCCCTGGCTTTAAGACACCAGGCTCAGGGAACGAACCGGGAAATCTTTACTTGTTTGGCGCCCTCAAGTTTTGATCAGAAGTAAGATCCAATCAGTACCAAGCCTCTAATTCAAGATTCAAATCAACTCTATGGAGTGCCTCCTATATGCAAGGTGAGCGATAGAGAGAGGAGACATCAGGAGGAGGCGCTGGTTTGGGGAGGAGGTGATGAGCTCAGTGAGGGTGTATTGTATTTAGGTGCCATTAGGAGGTCCACTTGGCACTGCCCAATGGGCATCTGCAATTCAAGTCTGGAGAGAAGACCTAGCTTGAGAAGCAGAGAGAGAGGAGGGCCTGGGGGTATGCCCTCAGTTGGGGAGAGGGGTCAGCAAGAGGAAGAGGACTCAGCAAAGGAGAAGGAAGAAGAGCCTAAAGAGGTAGGGGAAAAGGCAGCAGAGCTGACAGAGGGACAGAAAAGCATGGTTAAGAAGGCAGGGCTGGGGCCAGCCCCGTGGCTTAGCCTACTGGCAGCCCCGGTTCAGATCCCGGGCGCACACCGATGCACCGCTTGTCCTGCCATGCTGAAGCAGCGTCCCACGTACAGCAGCTAGAAGGATGTGCAACTATGACATGCAACTATCTACTGGGGCTTTGGGGGAAAGAAAAAGGAGGAGGATTGGCAATAGATGTTAGCTCAGAGCCGGTCTTCCTCAGCAAAAAGAGGAGGACTGCCATGGATGTTAGCTCAGGGCTGATCTTCCTAAAAAAAAAAAAAAAAAAAGGCAGGGCTGAGGAACTACATCAAACAATTAGTATACTGCAAAGCTGATGCTCTTCTGGTCCGCAAGTTCTCATTTCTCATACTCTCCCGGTAGATCTCATCCACTCCCGTGTCTTCATTTACTACTAGAGGCCAGTGACCACTCACATCTATCTCCTCAACCCAGTTCTAGCTCCTGAGCTTCAAAGCCGCCTCCTAAACTTCTCCACATAAAATAATACAGGTATCTTTCATGTATTCATATATAGAACAAATATTTACTTACAATGTATAAGACACTGTTCTGTGTATCAGACATAGGTGAATGAATAAGGCAGAGAAGATTCTGGTCCTCAAGAAGCTTGCATTCTCAGGCTCTTCATATCCCTAACTGGCCTTAGCATCCTTCCAACCCCCTAGCCTGTTCCTCCTCCACTGTTCCCCATCTCAGGAAATGGCACCTCCGTCCATCTAGTTGCCCTGCCCAGAAACATGGAAGTCAGCTTTGACTCCTTTTCCCTCACTCCTCACATCCAATCAAATCTCCAAGTTCATCTGATTCTCCACCCAAATATCCCTTGAATCCATCCCCAGCCTTCCCCGGACCCAGGCCACCACCACCTCTCATCTGGATACTTCAGCAGCCTCCTAACTGGCCCCACTCCTCTGGCTTTGCCCCTCTCTAGTCCTTTCTCCTTCCTGAAGCCTCCAGTCTGGTTGCTTTCCAGCTCAAAGCCCTTCAGTGGGCTCCCCAATGCTCTTGGGCATGTAAGGCCAGGCACAACGCACCCCTACTTTGTTCACTGCCTCATCTGACCTCCCCCTCTGTCCCTCCCTGCCCTCACACACGCACCCTGAATTCCAGCCATACTGAGCTTGTTTAGTTCCCTTAGCACACTGGGCTTCTCTTACCTCCCGGCCTGAGCTCCCTGCCTGGAGCACTCTCCCACCCCCGCCACCAATTCACATGTGCACTTACCCTTCCCATATCGGCCTAGATGGTTTTTCCTCCAGGAAACCTTGCTAAACCCCTTAGTGGGGATGAGGCGTCCTTCCCATGTACTATCATAACCTGTATCTCCCCCTTCACAGCATTTACACTAATTGGGTGTCTGTACACCATGCATTTTCCCTGGGTAACCCTCTCCAAACTCATGGCTTTGATCTGTATGCTAATCACTTACATTTCTGCATCCCCAGCCCAAATCTCTCTCTAGAATTCTCAACTCATCTATTTAACCTAACATCTCTACCCAGCTGCCGCACAGCAAGGATTCTTCTTGTTGCAGGTGATAGAAAATTCCACTTAAATTGTTTTAAGCAAGGCAGGAATTTATTGACTCACATAACCGAACAGTCAAGGGACAGCGTTAGCTTTAGCACAGCTCCAGGAGCTGGTGTCTTTCTCTAAATTCCTTGGCTCTGGGGCCGGCCCCGTGGTATAGCGGCTAAGTGTGCACGCTCCACTGCTGGCAGCCTGGGGTCAGACCCCGGGCGCCCACTGATGCACCGCTTGTCAGGCCATGCTGTGGTGGTGTCCCATATAAAGTAGAGGGAGATGGGCACAGATGTTAGCCCAGGACCTCAGCAAAAAGAGGAGGATTGGCATGGATGTTAGCTCAGGGCTGATCTTCCTCACAAAAAAAATTTTAAAAATAAAAAATAAATTCCTTGGCTCTGCTTCTTCAATGTTGGCTCCATTCTCAGGTCCCTTCCCTGTGGTCTGGAGATGGTTATCAGCATTTCTAGGGCTACAATCTCTCATATGAGAATCCACCGAGAAGGGGAAAAACAATTGCCTTTATCCCAGAATTCTCAACAAAAGTACTGAGGTTCCCTCTGTTTGGACCAGCTTAGGTCATGTGACCACCGCTGGGCCAATCACTGGGTCCAAAGATATGCAGTGCCCTGATTAACACAGGCCTTGGTTGTGAACTTGACTCTTAGAACTGGGTGGACCCCTACCCAAACTCTAAGAAACAAGAGTGGGGTAGAGTGGATCAGGCGTGGGAAATGAATGCTGCAAAGTCAAGGAACAAACACACGTAAGGAACACACACCTCAAATACAACATGTTTTAAACTGGACTCTACATCTTTCTCCCAGAAGCTGATCCTCTTGTTTCATTCTCAATTTCAGTGAATTGCACCACCATCCACCCAACCGTCCACACCAGGAACCTGGAGATAATCCTAGACTTCTCTTTCTCATGACTACATCCAAACAGTCATCATTTCTTGGGTTTTACCTCTTGCACACTCATCCCCTCCTCTCCACTCTCATTACTTTATTTCAGACTCTCTTTTAACTGACCATTTAACCATCTCTCCATTCTTACACTAAAAAACTGCTGATTGATGGCCATAGAACCACAAATGTCCAAGACTAATGGATAACCTCCATCAGTGGAATCATGTGTTCACTAAGAGTGTATTTGTGGTTGCTCCCAATCCTGTTTATATCAGTTGTACTTGTTCTTGTAACCTGCAATTGAATTAAATAATCCATGAACCAATAAAATATGGGTGCAGAAAGATGGTTTTTGCTTTTATGAAAGCCAAATTTAATTTTTTTCAAAGACTTGATAAGGGAAATGCACTGAAGATCACTGTAGTTGATGTAGGTGTAGCTGAGAGAACAATAAACAAACGAGGAAAAAACTCACAGAAGCATCTTTCACTTGGATTGCCTCACAAACATCTTTAAATTCTCCATTTAAAAAAAAAAGAACTGAAAAGCATTATGAATGTGATTTATGCAAGAAAGGTAGTATAGCAAAATATTGGTAAATGTACATGTTTTAAGTTGAATATTTAAAATATTACCATTTTTGTGAGTACCCATTTAAACTGATTTTTTTATGTTAACCAACCTACTACTGTTCCCTACCCTTTGGAAAAGATGGCCTCTACCATTTTGCAATAAACTCTCTTATTCTTCATGTCCCCAGTTTGACCTCTTCCACTCCTTTCTCCACCCTGTGACTCAACAGTTTTTATTATAATTTTTATTTATTTTTTTTTTCCCCCAAAGCCTCAGTAGATAGTTGTGTGTCATAGCTGCACATCCTTCTAGTTGCTGTATGTGGGACGCGGCCTCAGCATGGC